AAAAAAATTAAAAATAAAGTGGTCTTATAATTTTGGCCACCACTGTATTTAGTATTGATATGATCTAATTTCGACGCGCTTTGATTTAATATAAATGTTACGCCTTGGAAAAACATTTTTATACATCCTGTAGTATCTGTAAAATAATTATTAGTCCTATATCAAACGCCATTTTTTTGCATTTGTGACTTTGATATTTCCTAGAGGAATGCATTTTGGAATTTTGAGTCTATTGCAATTTTTGCACTACTTATGATGAACTATTCTTCAAAAGTTAAATGTTCTTTGTTTAGATTGTGATGATGTATATAGTCAACAACCATCACTTGTTCATGAAGGAATTTTTCGTATAAAACCACGTTTTGCATCTGAATCATTTGATGTTAAATGTATATTTGAAAATAATATAGGTGAGATTAAACTATATATATATGGGAGGAAAAGTGTATGAAAATTGATCTTGTTTTTTTGTTTTGTCTTGCTATTGAATAGGATGGACAGTTATTCAACGAAGAATAAATGGTACAATTGATTTTTATCGTGGATGGAATGATTATAAAAATGGTTTTGGTGATTTACGAACAGAATTTTGGTTAGGAAATGAAAAAATTCATCTATTAACAAATCAAGGAAGATATATGTAAGTTTATTCATTTCAAATTATTTCAATAAAAGATGTTCGAGAAAATTTTCTTGAAAAAAAAATATATATTCATCATGATAATAAATCAATTATGTTTGAGTTAAACAAAATACTACAATATAGAGTTGATGGTAGTGATTACGAACATTTCTTCAATTTTCCTTTAAACTATTTTAATAAATATGCAATATTTTGACTGTAGGCAAAAAAAAGACGATCTTTGTTGTTTGTTTTTTAAGTAGTTTCTACTGCAATACAGTACTCGAAGTCTTTGAAAAAGTATTTAATATAAGTGAATGAATGTTCTCTATTTAATGAAAATACCCATTGTGTTAGTTAGACATATAGAACAATGCACAGCATGCCAGAATTATGAAAAGATGATCTGAAAAAAAAATGACTTTCCACTATCAAAGATATATTTGAATAGAATATGAAAAACTAGATCTGCCTATATCACTTTTATAGATTAACTGTGTGGAATGAGGAAGTGATATAACTTCGAACGGAGCGATACACTTCAATTGCCTAATGTTTTCACTGGTAATCTAGTTCTATGAACTGTTTCACATATTGAGATGTCTTAATTTCTTCATCATTAGATAAGTTTAACTCAAAATGATGAGAAAAAAATTTAGGGGTGGTACAGGTGTGAAAAGTCTTAATGTAAAACTAACGAGGGAACATATTCAACCGTCGGACGTCATTCAGCTTCATGTTTTGATGACGAGTAGGTCTCAGTAACAGTAATACAAGCTTAAAAGGATTTGGGTTCAATAGCTTGTTGATGAAGAGTTATAGACTTTTTAATGAAATTGTTCCCGAGGGCAAGAAACATTACTGAAAACAATGAGTTTCGACTTGAAAATGTTATCAATAGGCATGTCTAATAGTCATTAGATAGTTCTGAAAGTTCTAATGTCTTTTTTCGAGATATCCGATTTCGAAGTAGACTCAGTTTAGTGTTCTTCTATGGTAAACCGTTACTTCTTTTAGATATTAAATATCTCAAGAAAGGCATGTTCATATTCGTTGAAACTTTCAGAATTATTTCATGACTATCAAACATACCTATAGGCTAAAGTTCAGGTCGAAACTCTTTGTTTTCGCTTTTTCAATAATGTTTTGCTCTCAGGAACAATTTCATTAAAACATCTATAACTTTTCATTAATAGAGCATCGGTTCAAATCCTTTTAAACTTGTCTTAGTCTCACAGTTGCGTATATCACCTCGT